CAGGTACAGAACTATAGATCTAGATCTCCAGGTCCAGAACTATAGATTCATAGCTCCAAGACCAGAAGTATAGATCCAGAAGTATAGATCTAGAGCTCCAGGTCTAGAACTATAAATCTATATCCCCAGGTCCAGAACTATAAATCCAGAGCTCCAGGTCCAGAACTATAGATCCAGAGCTCCAGTTCCAGAACTAATGATCCAGAGCTTTAGGTCCAGAACAATAGATTCAGAACTATAGATCTTGGGCTCTAAGTCCAGAACTATAGGTCTAAAGTTCCATGTCCAGAAATATAGGTCCAAAAGTATAGATCTAGAGCTCCAGGTCTAGAACTATAGAGCTAGATCTCCAGGTCCAGAACTATAGATCCAGAACTCCTGGTCCAGAACCATAGCTCTAGATATGCAGGTCCAAAACTGTAGATCCAGAGCTCCAGGTCCAAAACTATAGATTTAGATCTTCAGGTTGAGGATGATAGATACAGAGATCCAGGTTCAGAACTATAGATCCAGACCCCCAAGTCCATAACTAGAGATCCATAACTATAGATCTACAGATCCAGGTCCAGAACTATAGATTTAGATCTCCACTTGCAGCACTATAGATCCAGAACTCCAAGTCCAGAACTATAGATCTTGAGCTCCAAATCCAGAACTATAGATCCAGAGCTCCAGGCCCAGAACTATAGATCTAGATCCCCAGGTCCAGAACTATACATCAAGATCTCCAGTTCTAGAACTATAGATTCAGAGCTCCAGGTCCAGAACTATAGATCCAGAATCAATCAACCTTTATTTAGACAGGTAAATCCCATTGAGCCTCCAGGACTCATTTACAAGAGAAACCTGATTTCAACAAAGAACGATGACAACAATGGACAACAGTGACAACAATAAACAGTTATAAAAAGTCATACTGCAGGTTTTTTTTTAAACAAATAGGATGGCTAAAAAGTAACAAAAAACATCTAGATTCTAAGGCGACTGTAGAAAACTAAAAACAGGAACATGTCTGCATTGGTCCCTGCCAGGAGTCCAACAGATTCTTAAAGCCACTTAGAGAGGTCAAAGGTCGAGAGCTTCAGATCTTTTTACAAGATATTCCAGGAAACAGGAGCAGAGTAGGAGAAGGTCCTTTTGTCTAGTTCAGTCCTCACTGAGGGAACACTGCAGGTAATAATGTCCTGAGAGCGCACGCTGTAGCTGCACTCACACAGAGACATGTAGGAGGAGATGTATGAAGGCAGCAGACCAGGAAGTGATTTAAAGATGAAGATGTACCAGTGAGAGAGTCTGTGTGGAGTATCTACATGAGCTGAGGCTGAGAAGGTCTTTGTTTACCTGGACTCGTCGTCTCTGGCGATCAGCAGAGACATGTGATTAGAGAGCGAAGCTGTTCTCAAGATCTCCACCGCCCTGCAGGAAAACAGCCACACATGAACGCTGTACACCAGGGCCAACTTTCATCGTTTGGTAGAAAACAGAGACTCACCTCTCATTGGTCACGCCAACCAGACTGAAGTTATTAACATCCAAAATCAGGTCCCCAGACTTCAAACGACCTGGAACAGACACACAGACAGGCAGACAGACAGACAGGCAGACAGACAGACAGACAGACAGGCAGAAAGGCAGACAGACAGGCAGACAGACAAACAGACAGAGACAGACAGGCAGAAAGGCAGACAGACAGACAAACAGACAGACAGGAAGACAAGCAGAAAGACAGACAGGCAGACAGACACACAGACAGGCAGACAGGCAGAAAGGCAGACAGGCAGAAAGGCAGACAGGTAGACAGACAAACAGACAGAGACAGACAGGCAGACAGGCAGACAGACAGACAGACAGACAGGAAGACAGGCAGAAAGACAGACAGGCAGACAGACATTCAGGAAGACAGGCAGACAGACAGAGACCGACACACAGACAGACAGACAGACACACAGACAGACACACAGAAAGGCAGACAAACAGACAGAGACAGACACACAGACAGGCAGAAACAGA